AGAGTGATGTTGATATTGGGAATATTTGAAAACTACCAGCCAGGAATTCATTTTAAGGTGAACTTTTGACAACCGTCAGGTTCTCTAGTGCTGTGCCAACCTGGAGACTGACATGAAGATTAGCATCTTCAAGTCTTAGAGAATTTTACTAGAAAGAAACCAGTCTGGCTTTGCTTCCTTCTTTTGATGACTTAACAAGGAAACACAATGGATGCCCCTCCTCTCTGCCTGGTTCTCACACTCAGCAAACTCTCTGAGAATGCCCACTCATTCTCCCCTTAAAGTTCTCTTTACTTCTGGGTACAGTGACACAGTATGAGGAGTAGCCACTGAGTAACCTCAAATCCTCTCCCAGCACTCACTCCCCTTGCTACACACATGGACACACACTGATTTACACAGGGTTTCTCTTACATGATCTGTGTGACCAATGACAAAGTTCTGCTCAGGGCGGGGGTTTGTTAATGAAACGTCATCGAATCTGTGAGGCAGAGTTGGCACCAACACTGCTTTTCTCCCAGTTTCTTCCCATTGAACACAAACAATGTCCAGTGCTGCAGTGGCCTTTGCATCCGCAAGGTTAAAGGTTCACAGGGAACACGAGCGGCCACCACCTATGCCCCAGGTTCCAGAAGTACCAAAAAAAATCAACCTGCAGTGTTGGTGCTACACTAGTGGCCACCTCACTATCTGCAGCAGAAAGCATTTCTGATAGAGCCTTTAAGAGAGGAATTCAATCTCTAGATCCCTACGTACAGTTTTTGTAACTCCAGAAAAACGTTCTTCTGGGGATGTTCATTCTTTTTTAAGTGCAGCCTGACCTCACCCTTTAAAAACTACCACTGGGACCTGGCTGGGCATCTCACATTGGAGTGGCAAAAAAATTTCCTATATGGCCAAAAGTCAGAGGCGCTTCTTAGCCCGTGCACTCTCTTCTGAAACCTCACTGCCAATTTCGTTGTTTGCCTCTTGCATCTCCCATAAGCAATAAAATAAACATTTCCTATTTAGATGCACAGTCTTGGCTGGGGAAGAGCGCTGAATGCTTCTAAGAGAACTACTGAATAAAGACGATCAGCCTGACTGGTGGACAAGCAGGCATAGGAAGAAGTAATTAGCCCAGCCTGACACAGAGGAAAGGCAGTCTCCTTGAAGGAAGACAGGGCAGTGAGTCAGGCAGATTCAGACCACGTGGCCCTGGCTGCAGCCACCTAAGTGAATCACAGCCAGCATGACACCCACATCACAGGGAAGAGCAAACTTGAGAGCACCCACTCTGCCACCTCTGCCCCGTGAACTGAGCCAGGACAGCCTTTCAAGACAGCCAGGAAGTCTGTTTGATATGGCACCTAATTGCTTAGGGTACAAAGCAACGGGGCAGAAGGGAGGGTGGCCTTTCACTCAACACATGCTGTTGAAGGAAGCCAGGTAAGATCAGCAGGACAGTACCTGTCAAAACCTGCCACACAATGAAACCCACACACTCCACTGTTGACACTGGCACAACGCAAGTGTGTTCTGGCGGAGGAGGGGCAGTTCTCAGACCACCTGATGAGTCTGTGGTGGTGGTAGAAACTGAGGAAGGGTGATCCCACCCAAACACAGAGCGGCTCCCCAAAACTGGGCTCTTCTGTGGAAACTGGATGTTCTCAAATAGCACATTGTAGATTTTTTCCATGCACACCTCTTAGGGGATGCTGATGGGCAATTCCATACTTTATCTGGAATTTCCACAGTTGTGCATTCCTTAAAGTCAGCGATACACAAAAGCACCCAAGACACAGATTTTTCTATGAAGCGATCAGACCAGCAAATCTGACAGGAGAAAGCACCGCTTCTTGTGGAACTAGCAAACTCGGGACGATCCCATGGCATCTGCTATCTCACTGAGTTCTCACAACACAGAAGCTAAACAGGGCACAGACACACTTCATGTCAGTGTCTGAAATAACACAAATCTCTAGACTAACTCAGGCTCTGCGTAAAGCAAGGCTAATCTTGACAGAGAATGGTGCACACACTCATCTTCACAAGCTGGAGCAGCATCTCCTATCACAAGAACAGATTGTTCTTGGTGGTGAACCCTGCCTTTGGCAACGGAAAGGACTGCATATGAAACATGCTACGCACATGCAGACACCTCGCACACCGCGCGTAGTGAAGGAGGCCTGGCACAAACGGTGTGTGATCCTCACCATGATAACTGTCTAGGTGGGGCTAACCGCAGAGCCAGGAACTAGATGGGATTTAGGGTACCAGGACTGGGAAGGTTGGGCAATGATGAGAACTGACTTCTGATGGCCAAGGCTTCTTCCCAGGATGATGGAAGTTCTCTGGACTTTACTCCGGCACTAACAGCATCATTATGTGAATACAATAAATGCCAATGAAGTACATAATTCAGTGGGTGAATTGTACTGTATATGAATGATATCTCCTTAAATTTTTCTCTCTCTTTCTGTCTCATACCCATATACACATACACACACAGAAGGGTTTCAAAAAGATAATTTGCATTATCTCTTAATCCCATTTTGTAAGCTTTTTGGAGGCTCCTTAAACATGTGTATGTGTGCATGTATGTATGTATCTATGTATCTATCTAAAAAGCGATAGATAAGGAGGAGAAAGAGGGAGCCCTGCTAATCACTTTGAAATTTTGTCATTGTTGGCAATGTTTGAAATTTGGAACGCATATTGTTTCTAAGTTTTTGCGCATACAAGATCCTATTAATGTTTCCAGATGAAATCATTTCCACTCTGCTTTAGTCAGATCACACAAAATGCTGTAGTAGACATTCAGCATTTCAATGTGAGAAAATAGGGGTTCCCAATAACACAGCTGTGAAGAAGAGGAACCAGGACTAAAACTCAGCTCTGCATGTCTCCAACGCTATTCTGATCCTTACAAACTGCTAGGTGACAACACAAAGGCCCTTTTGCATCGATTGCCACTGAAAATGGTCAAATGCAGTAATTAGCAGTCAGTAGATGCTAATATTCCCGACACGTGTAGTATTTTGCCAGTGCTCAAAGCTTCATACATATTTCCTCATTGAAGCTGCACAGCTATTCTTTGAGGGCATTATTGTTATCTTCATTTTACAGAGGACTTACTCGAAGCTTAGAGAGGTAAGACAGCATGGAGCCCCACAATTAGTAGTGAAAGTATAACTGAAAACCAGTTCTTCTGGGGGCAAGACTTGTTGGTCTCAAGCCTCATGCTGTGCTTTTCCAGAACACACCAATCTCACTGACGGACGGAGAGGTACATCCCGATGCTGTGGCTCCTGATCACTCACCAGCAAGAAGTCAACTAATGGTCTCTGAGAACCTGCAAGGGCTCCTGTGCCCTGGATCTCCTTTCTCTGGTCCTTGGCCCTCACATTGGGCAGCCATATAATGCTATGGGCTATTAGGGTATTTGTAGGTTATTAGTAACTGGTCTAGGACATGGAATTACAGTGAGAGTAGGAAATCCAAACAACTGTGCTAAGAACATTTCCACTACAAGGCAAGGGGTTTTGAATCTAATAAAAATATCTAGTGACAGAGAGGCCTCAGCATGCTTCCTGGGAAAACTCAAAGATCACTGCCGCTCAAGATCATTTGTATCCGGATGCAGACTCAGTCTTCTAATTACTGCACTAAATGGATGGCACGAAACATGTAGAGAGGCACTAGAGGGCTTGGGTGTCTTGGGTAACACAGCCTAGCAGGTAAAAGGCATGGTAGAAAGTCAAATTGTTTGGTCTATAATTGTTACTGATTGAGTGGCATTGAACATACCAGTTACCACATTTGGCTACAAAAACAGAATCCAAAGTAGCAGTGAACTAAATAAGATAGAAGTTCATCATTGTCTTAGGTGAACTAATTCTGAAGAGAGGCACTGCAGACTGACCTAGAATTCCATGGGCAATAGGACCTTTTCCATGTTTTGTCCTGTCTTACTAAACAAGGCCAGCTCTCAGAGCAAGGTGAATCCTTGAAATCTAGCCATCATATCACCATTCCAGCCAACAAAAAAGAAATAGGTAGAATGATTTTCAGCTGGACTTGCTTCCTATAAAATGCCTCTGAGAAACCACACACACACATCAGCCCTATCCAGAGCTCACAGCCATTTCTAGATGCAAGAGAGGCTGAGAAATATGATTCCTGTAAGGACACTGCTACTATACTATGCTGGGGACTGTTACTAAAGGATAACAGATGGGGTGTTGAGAAAGAACACCTAGATCTTCTGGTCATGCTGTTTTCCCACTCCCTTAAACTTCAATTTCCTCATCAATAACCTAGACAGGAACAGAGCATCTCTTCCCCAGAACTGCTCTGATGAGGCAATGACAGCCCATGGGAAGCCCTTAGCAAAGCAGTTGGCCAAGCTCCCACCCCAATGTGCTTCCTGTTGTGGTAGCTATGCGCATAATGATGGTGCTCAGAGGAATTAGGTTCCAAAGACTTATCTCAAGGACAGGCCAGCCAGCTCCTGCAATGTGCAGCATCTCCCTTCCAAACTTTAGATTTTGAAACCCTTTGCCTTTTCCACATACAGCAGGATTTCTCACCCTTGGCACTGCTGACATTCTGAGTCAAATAATTCTATGTAGTAGGGTCTATGCACCATGCATTGTAAGATGCTCAGCAGCTTCTGTGGCCCCCACCCAACAAAGCCTTCGCTTTTCCAGAGTGGAAGCCAAAATGTCTCCTGGGGGTAAAACCATTTGAAACTGAAGCATCATTTACTCCACTGGGTCCAAATTCAGACAACAAGTGTCTATCAGCAGTAGCTTTAGAAGCCTGTTGGGTTATCTGAGGTTGAGTTGCATGCGTGAACATATCAAGTTAAGCCAGATCTCTTTTATCTTCCTAAACCAGTGAAAAAACCCACTAGGATATTTTTGAATGGTATGTAAAAAATAGAACCTCATAGAATTTTGACATATATGTACATACGTATAGACACATGTGTTATATATGTAAACATTTTATATGCATATAAACATATACTGTATACACTTAAACATACACATATACTACATTTTAAGTCTTCAATTCTAGCCCTGGCTTAGGACTTCAGTGTCAGTCAGCAAATGTGGTTAGAGAGAGAGGAAGACATTTCAGAAATACAAGAAGAACAAGAAGGAAAGAGGTCGGATGGTTCATGAAGTCTGGTTTGGATGGACCACAGTAACGGGCCTGTGCGGTCCTGTGATGATACCAGGGGCCTGTCTGAAGCACAGCGCTCAAGCTGTGCAAGCATCTCTCCCCGACACCCACATCCACAGTCTGTCAGAACAGAAACACTGTAGATAAAGACAGCAACACACTAAAGAAGACAGAGCAAGAAAGTGTGGAAATTCCCCAAGTCAAATTTTTGGGACATCTTTGAAAGAAGCCTGTCTTCTGAATAATAGAATAGCTTTGGGTCCTGTACTTGGCTTAAAGAAACTGCAACCATAATTAAAAGCAAGAAGGCTGTAAGTCTATTAATTTTTTTCCTTTGATACTGGAAAACTTAATTCATGACCTATATTTTATAAAACATATACTTGAAAGGGATTCTATGTGTCTTCTCCCCACTGAACTAAGCATATTGAATATCTTCCATTTACTTAAGAAGGGAGGCAGTTCTATACATAAAATTACTCAGGGCTGCTGCTGCTTTTTTTTTTTTTTTAATGCTCTATAGATTAAAGTGCAGCAACTGAAAAGCATTTGTATAGATTAGATAAGTGGGAGCAGCAGCTCCAGCCTCTGTCCTCTGAGCCATGGCGCTGCAGTAACAGCTGGGAGAACACTCCACTGATGATAAATCCTTTCTAACTGAAGGTAGGCAGTGGTCTTGATGGATGACCCAGCATGCCTTGTGAATCTCCCAGGGTTCTCCTTGAGCAAGTCCTGAGCTTCCACTAGGGGGAGAACTGGGCTCCACCTGAGCAGGCCACAGTCATCGAGGGCGGGCTGCGTGGAGACACTTGAGAAGCTCGCCTGTTCAAGAGGTTAGTGTTTTCTCCCCTTCCTTTCTCCCTCTCTCTCACCTACACATCATGCACACATGTGCACAAGAACATGTATTCACAGGTGGATGTGCAAGGATATTTTCTCTGGATTTTGGATGAGGAGGGACAGTTTTGGAGTAACCTCAGCATTACCGTGGGTGAAATGGTTCAAGGAATGTGGATATCACGGTTGGGGGCTGAAATGAAAGAGCAGAAGTCACAGTCATTGCAGATCTGCATTCAAATTCTAGTCTCACCATCCACCAGCTGCGTGAGCTTGCAGAAGTCACTGGACCTCCTTGCATTTGGCTTCCTCCATTATGAAATGGGAGTAAGATATGTAGAAAATCTAGATCAGTACTCAGTACATACCAGTGCCAGAGATACAGTGTTTTGTCACTCTAGGACAGGTGCATGGCTCTCCCTGAATCCTGGTAACCTGCACCCAGCCGCCTGTTGACTTCCTCCTGGGCCGCAGGCCCACAGTGTGCTGATTGGGCCCACATCTGCTGTATGCATTTCCCACCACACATGTTAAAAATCAGGCAAAAAGGAAGAAATGAAGTAGCCATAAAGAAAACACTTATACTAAATAGAATTTTTTAAAATGAAATTTGCAAGGATTCAGACTTTCAAACATTCAAGGCCATTCATTCATTGAATGAAAATTTCTGGGCGGCTCCTGTGTGCCTGGTACTCCATTAAACACAGAAAATTGAGGGATGAAGAGAAAACAACCTGGTCCCATGGGCCTTAAGTGGTGGTGAGAAAGAGAACTGCAAGTAGAATCTACTTTGTACTTGAGCAAAATTTATAAACCTATTAAGGTTTACAGTATTACCGTAATTCCATACAGATGGCATCTGTTACAATAATCCAGTACCATAAAACCAGACAATAGTTAGTATTTCCCAATTCATCATGGACTTGGAACAAAAACCTTATGTGGCTTGCCCCCTCCCTCTCTGTTGCTGTCACGTTAGTGCAGGTCATGGTCCTCTCACATCCAGAATGCAAATGAGCCCTTGCTGCCTTGCTCCATTCTCCACTGTGCAGTGCAAGTTATCTTTTAACAGTAAATTTGGGTTTTACCATTTCCTTGCTTAAAATCACCCAAGGGCTTCTGACTACATACAAATGTAACTGAAACTTATGGAGCTCTAAACCAGGGAGCTGTGATTTTATCTCATATTTTTGGCAAAGGATCAGGTAGCACATATTTTTGTTTGTGTGGCATACATGAGTGTCCTACAAAGAGTTCAGACAAATGGGATTAAAAATATGAGCTGATTTTGTCATGAAAGATTTTGAAAGTTGAAAATACTGTGCATGTATTTCATAGAATAAACTCACAGTTTCAATATTGTCTGTAAGCTTCTGAAGTAACTATGGTCTCTTTTGCAATGTCATAGCTCTGCCAGCAGAGCAGGAAACCAGCAACAGTCCAGCGTGAAGGCACGGGCATGTCTGTGGTCCAATAAAACCGTAAGGTAAACGGCAAAGGCTGTGGGGAGGTCAGAATCCTGGCCCATACTTTGCTGATTTCTGCCCTTGTTGTCTCCTTGAACCCAGGAGATGATCCGACCTTCTCCAGTGCTGGCCTCCTCCCTGAATTTTTCTGCAGCCACTCGTGTTTTCGGAGGCCTGGAGCATTCCCACTTCAAACCTCCACCTGGTGGACTGCTCGCCGGGCTCATTTCAACATATCACTGTGTTCTTTCACATTCAAAGCCCATACATGATCATATTTATTTGCTTCTTGATAACTATCTTTCTAGTCCCAATAAAATGTAAATGTCTTTATAGTCCTAATTGGTCTTTGTCACTGCTATATCCACAGCAACTAGAACATTACCCACCTCCTGGGAGCTACCTAAGATACATTTGGTGGGTGAATTTGCTGAATGAAGTGGACTTAAGAAGTTTATGTGAAACAGGGCTTTCTCTGACGCTGTAACCGCTAAGTCACTCCAGATTTGCCACTCTATCTTTCTCTGTGGTGCTCTAGTAGCTCTGGCCTACTCAGGGGGGATCCAGTCATTCAACTGTCACCCACTTTCCATTTTAGCAAGAGATTCTTGAAAGATTCTGAAGAGTTGCAGAACGATCAACATTAGCAAAACTATCATTTTTCTTATCCTGATGCCACTCTAAACTTAGACACTCCTTCAGTTAAGTTAATTCTTAAGCATATTTTAAAATACTTGATGTCACAGATCTTTCTCCCAAAGAGTGATGGAAAGAGGATCCCAGATTTGGCTTCAAACACATGTGACAATTTAGTGTGGTCTAACAAATGCTTCTTTATGTAGGAATGTAAGGAATCTGGGTCTAAAATCTCTCAGGTTCACCTGCAACACAAGGTTCTCATCTGAATGACAGGAGCCAGTTAACTGATAGAGGAAAGACAGGCACATGGACCAGGCCTAGCAGCAAGGCCTGCACAGACAGCAAAGCTGGGAACCCTGGTAGGGTCTGTTTATTGAACTTCTCTCCTCTCTCATAGGTGCACAGGAAAATTCAGGGGGAACAGAGCTATGAATAAAATCAGAAAAACTGTTTTTGAAGTCATTCGACTCAAACATACATACATAGTTCTTCTGGTTGGGAACGCTTCTACCAAGAGAAGCACTCAGGCATTCTTCCTGGTGTCACCAAATCCATGGTGCCCAAAGGTTACAGCGTACATCAGCAATGGGTTCTACCACAAATAATGGTGTCTGTCAGAGGGAGGATGGCCTAGGAAGACAGGGGCCAGTGGTTGGGAGAAAGGCCTTTGACTGGTATGGCTCTGAGCCTGTGAGGGACATGTCTGGGGGTCAACAGCCATAGTTAGGAGCACTTGGCAGAGACTTCATGAATAACTGAGTGAAGTCAAGAGATAGCAAAGTTTAGAAAACATTTTCTATTTCATTGATTCTAAGATTCCCTTAAGAAAATGTCTCCAAGTTGACAATGTAAGTGCTTCACAAAATATGCTTCACAGTCACCTGCCCTGGAGTAATGTGTGACATGATCCCAACCACTGACATCTCTTCAGCTAAAGCCTCAAGAAGAAGAGCTACCATCAGTTACTAAAATCCTCTCCCAAACAACAAAATCCAGGGGTGGAAGTCTATAGCAACATCACCCACCATCTCCAAACATAGTCACTGAAAAGACCACAAACGCTTAAAGACATGAGGTACGATCCAGAGAAACAAACAGCACCACCAATCAGTATGTTTGCGTGTGAAAGGGAAGACAACTGAATGCTAACTCCTGGGCCCAGCTAAGTAACCACTGGCTTGGCCAATGAAACCCTTTGATTAGAGGCATTGTCCCAATATGGATTGAAATGTAATGAGCCATAGCCTCCTTCCTCTGACCCACCAATTCTGCTCACAGGAATTTGTCCTAAAGAAACTGTCATCAAAGTGAGGCGAGCTAAGCACTCCCCTGTAGAACTGACTTTTAACACAGAAAGGTGAAAACAAGTGAAATCAATAAGAGGCTGGTTAAATAAATGAGGGTAGATTCATCCGTTATCTGTTGAATGCAATGATATGGCTTGATGCTTATTGATTTTCAAAAATGTTGGCAGGCTCCTGTGGAGTGAAGAAAGCGATACACAGCGTGTCTCTATGATGCTGTGGGGAAGCCCACAGAGCACCCAGAGCCAGGCTCACTCAATGGGCCACTCTGGCTACTTCTGGATGTTTGGTTTTGGGGGTGACTTAATACGGCTGAAAAAAAGCTGGATTGGTCTACTGGGTAAAGCATCTATCCAATCAAGAAAACAAACAAAACAGTCATATATCCACAAGACTGATTGGGAGTTTTCAAAGTCCGAAAATACAAGTAGAGAGAAACTTCACAGCAGATGGATTGAGAAGCCACATCACATTTCCTGTGCCAAATCAGCAGGTGACCAGGAAAGAGACTTTACCACCGGGGCATTCCAACTGAGGACCCAGCACAGAGACAGGCCTCCAATACAAAGCATCCACTGTCACACAGGTCTCTACTGCACTCAAGTTGTTTTGGAAAAATAGCAACTCTCCAGCAAAGTGGAGTGGTTAAGGAAGGCCATTTGCCCCAAAGGCCATCCAAATAGCTCTTTCTCCTTGTATCAGATGTGGTTGGACCTGTTTAAATATTAAAGTAACTATCTCTTGGTGGGGAAGCAGAAACCAAATACAAGAATCCCTTACTCCCCCATCTCCCTTCTTCATAGCTACAAGACTAGATTGGTTCCCTCCTGAGCTGGGCATTTGGCATGGTTATGCTGAAGCACCTGCCATTATTTTAAATCTCATTTACTTCTGCTTGCCAACCTGTGTTATTTTGTCTACCAGGAGAGAATGAGCAGCATAACTCAAGCCTACTGCTATACCCACGCAGTTCACAACAGTGCCAGACCAGAGTAGATACCAAGTGAGAGGAAGCAATAGAAGGCAAAAGCTACTGGATTTCAGGAGACAAAGGTGAAGATTGCTCACTTATGCTTGTCTACAACAGCCTTGAGAGCTGGCAACACATCACCTAGGCAATGCATGGTCTTTTGTGAGGTGGCCCAGGCTCTCCTTGAATACAAGATTAATTTCATGGTCTCTGTTCTTAATATTTCAGGTTGGGGGTTAAGCTATCCACCAAATCACCTCTTTCTCCTGCAATCTTTCAAGGCCATGCCACCATTGGGGTGAGGGTTGCCATTTTCCTAGATGCCCCGGCTGCCACAGAGGGTGACCAAGAGCATGGAGGAAGAGTACATTTGAGCCCAACTCAATGACCCATGACTGCATGTGCCATGCTGGAAGGCCACCCTCAAGTAGCTGGCTTACATTGGCCTGTGTGCACAGCTGGCTGAAAGTGGCTGGAAATAAAATGTCCCCCTGGAGACAGTTCTCAGCCAATGTAGCATCATCCAGCTGGAGGGCATCTCAGCCACTTGACCCCTGGCTGGGATACCTATAATGTAAGTGTATGGTGCCACTTTCTACAGCCCCCACAGGGATTGAGCTTCCAATTCCTACTCTGCAGCAAGCTGAAGACTGCACCTCTATAGCCTGACTTTCCTCTTCTGTTCTACCACCTCACCTGCTGGCACAGGGCACTCTCCTCAGAGGTATCTAAAACAGTCCCAGGAGCCAAACACTCATGAACTGGCATCTCCAAGGCACCATGGGGTCTTAGCATACATGCTTTCCAGAAATTTCATGGGTCTCAGCCCTCAACCTTACATTCTAGCCCTGTTTTGGGAATTCAGAGAATTCCTAGTAAGAGCCACCTAGCCCTGTAGTGGAGCCAGAGAGCCTGGTTTTGTGCCCCATAAATCAATACCTTGTGACTTGAGAGAAGGAATGGCTCATAACGTGCTAAGTTCACAGGCTATTATTTTCTGTTGCTCTGCCTTCATCCAGGAACGTTTCCCCCAAACGATACCCTGGAGTTTACTGCTGAGCAGCTGGGCATGGTCTCCTGTCTGCACAAGCAGATAAATATGGGTGACCTTCCTCGCTGATGGATGGGTGCGGAAGGCTCTTGGGTACTTGGGAACATGAAAATGATGCTTGGTTTGTTGGGAGATGAATTCTCCTTCACACAAACTGTGTGTCTCTTTGCTTTACCTTTGCTAAAGGGCACGCTGCCAGAGGAAAACGAATGGCTGCAGCTCTAACAACACACTGGCATTTCTGGAACATTCATTGTGTTCTAAGCAGCGAGGGAAGCACACGGTCTCAGTCCTCACATGCAGCCTGTGAGGCGGGCGTGGTGACACACCAGCCTTATTTACAGACAAAGCTGCCGAGGCCGAGGAGAGACCAAGCCAGTTCTACCGTACTACCCCGTGTGGGCTGTTGTGGGTTATCTAAGCAGGATGACAGTGCAGACTCAGCAGAATTGGCCCAAGCAGTTGTATCCTATCAGCAGCATCAGCCACTGTTCTCCCATTCCATCCAACCCCAGGAAACAAAGTGGCCAATTCTGCCATGGTACATTGAAGTCAGAGATACAGATTCTGTGTCTCCTTGCTCCCCAGCTGTGTAAATCAGGCAGTTTTGCAAGCCTCTCTGAGGGTCAGCTTCCTCTGCTGTGACAAAGGGACATTGGTATCCCTCTCTCAGCACTGGAAGGTTGTGGTAGAGGAAGTAATAGGTTCAAAGCTCCAAGAGCACTCCATGCTGGGACAGTCCAGTAGGGATTTTGTGGAGCAGATGAAAGAGCACAGAATTTGCAGGTAGATTGCACACACTGACTCCCAAACACTGCCTCCCATCCCGTCTCTGTGAACAGGGAAAACCCAGGGAGCTGCCCCCACCCCAAGCCAGCATCCCTCTTGGTAAAACGGATGCTATGCAGCATCTACAATATGTAGGATTCCATGAGCTACAGGAGAGCATGGCATCGTGGAAATGGGAGAGGTGATCATTTTCATGGCTGGGCAGGGTTCGCCAAGACAAGCCATACATCGCTCACGACCGAGGTCGGGGAAGCAGAGAGGGAAGAGCACCTTCCACAGATACCTGCTGGTTTCCTGGACTCTCCAGGGCTCATCTTGCTCATTGCTGCCTTGCAGGGGCTCAGTCCTCCGACTGATTTCCCTCTCAAAGTTTCTTGCAACACTTGTACATTATGACTCCAGATCTTTCTGATTTTATTTCAGTTGCTGCTCTGCAGTCAAAAAGAGAGGCTGCTACCAGTGCAAACAATGAACCAGGCTAGAGCAGAGGCAGCTACTCTGCATGGACGCCCACGCCTCAGCGTGCTTGCCCAGGACAACACCTATCATAAACCTGAATTCAAGGTGGTTTATGTTTTCTTGGAGACGCAGCTACCCCTAACCAACCAGCTTTGTACTATACGGAATTCAATGTGCATAACAGATTCTATTTTTCTTAGAGAATATGACATGTTTATAAGGCAATGAATTCTGAAATCCTTCCCTAAACTGTAAGGAAAGGAACAGTGGGAGGAAAATTGGACATGGTCTAATCACACACACACACACACACACACATAATATACAAAGATGTGTGCGTGCTCACTGCTGCTGCAAATGTGACCGCTGCCATTTACATTTAGAACACTTTTGGGGCCATTCTCATTCCAGTCACTCAGGTGCAGGGGCTGGGCACCACACATGGAAACCAGAAATTACCCTTAAGCTCAGCTCAGACTCCGGCTTCCTCTGGCTCTCCCAACTTGCTCTGCACACCAACTTGGTTAAGCTGAATTTCTCAACATCAAACTCAACTTCCAAGGCCCCTCTCTCTCTCTCTGCCCAGAAGCCATCTCTCCATCAAAAGCAGCCTGCTGAAAAGTCCCTGGGGACAGGCTGCCCTGCAGGGGACCCAACCTACCTTCACCGGCCCCCTCCTTCTCAGCCCTGCTATCACCTGCCACCTCTGCTACCCCCCAAACATCCTGGGGCACACACAGTGGATCCACTCTCATTTTTCACAGGCTGAATTCAAAGCTAGGAAGAAAGCGGGTAGCTCCTGCCCCTGGGAAATCCAGTGGAGTGAATAGAGACCTGACTCCTTGAAGCTGAAGGCAGGTTTTAGGGAACTTGCATACAATTATCCACCTGGTAGTCTGGGAAGGTTACTATGGCAACATTCCTAGAGCCTCACATCTGCCTGTCATTGATGCATCGTGGAGTCAACCAGGCAGGGAGGAGGAAAAGGTAGAGGAGCTCTCTGGCTTCCTTCTCCCACCTGGCCGGCAGAGTGACCACTTCCCTTATTTGTTTGGGCATAATCTAGACGCAGCATCCAAGATACTCTTAATACAGCACTTTTCACTCCAATATATCTTAAAGCTTAAAATCAAAGTCCCATCTGATGGGGATTTTGCTACTTTGTTCTTCACTTTTTGAGCATTATACTCAGGAGTGACTTCTGCTGCTGGCTGCAAAAGGCTTTCAATAGCATGTACTGCAGCAGAAAAGGCAACTCTTGAATTCAAAAGCCACCCGTGATAAGAAAAAAAAAAAGATCCAGCATGGGAAAAAGCTAAGCTCTGCAGCAGCCTTGGGTCGTTTCTGTAACAGCAGGTGCAGGTATTTCCAGAGGGAGATGTAAAACGTTTTGTTTTGTCCTTCTGACAGCAGACAAAAGTTTTCACCATGCACAGCTTCTAAAGAAAGGGGTAAAGGGTCTACCTGCTTCACAATAATTATGAGAAGAAATAACCAAGGAATTTGTGCTGGGAATCTGCACTCTGAACAAGACTCCATCATAGCCCAGAGTTCAGCCTTGGGCTCTTACAAGGCTGAGCCAGAGGTACAGGTGCCCAGTACCAGGCACATGCCAGACACAAAGGAAGGCTTTCAGGTATTCTCCAACACTCCCATCACGCTGTGTGCTGCAACCTGCTGGTTCCTGCATCTACTCAAGGAAGTCATACATCCACGCTGGTGCATGCCAACAAGTCAAAGCAGCACCCACACAGTCCCTAGCGCCATCAGAGATCACTGTGCACACTTGTAAAGACACGCCAGCAAGCAAGTGAAGGGCACGTACCTGTGGGTGACCCTTCCATCACGTGGCCGACGTAGGGGCCTTCTCGGAAGATGGGTCTGTTGTCATTCTGATCAATCACAATAACTTCCAACGGCACCGGCCCCTCCAGAGTTTTCCCATTGATGTCAGTGGTCTCCACAGAGAGCTATTGGAGCAACGAGAACAGGGGAGAAAAAGCATTCACTCATTACGAACATCATGATCAGCTTCTCTGGAGAAAGTAGGTTATATCAGCAATCTTCTAAGCCTTTGGCAATATTCAAACTTTGGTCTCAATAGATAGTCAATGATCACTGCAGATTAGAAGGCAAAGATCAATGCATGTTAGTTTTCCCTTGGGACCTTTACAGTTAACTCATGATATCCACAAAGAAAGGAAAGAGAAAAACCTTCTCATCAACCATAGCTGAGAAAATGTGCCTACATGGTTTCTGTTTTTCCAACATCATTTTCCTTAAAAGGAATATTATGCTAATAGAAATAATTGACTAAGCAACTATGAACTGAGTACATTAAGAGAGATAACCGAAAGTGTTTATGGTAATGTTTAGGAGGAATTCGGGTAAGCATTTGTGGAGGGCCTTCCTTAAGCAAGAAACTCAGCACATGCAGGCGCCTGAAGGACATTGCTGGAGCCCTGTCCACCAAGCCCTTTGTAAGTTAGGGGGCCTTCATAATTCCAGGAAACACTTCCATATGAAACTATCTCCAGATACCAACAAAAAAGGCGACGCGAACAAAGCGGTTGGGCTGTTTATTGGAAGCAGGAATTATGCTATGGCATTCCCAGTGAATTCCAGGGACCTAAGCTTCTCACTTCGAGTGTAATCTGGCCTTGATTTGACTTGACCACAGTAGCACTTTGGTGCTATGTACTGGTCCCTACGAAGGAAGCAGTCAAGCGTTTCTGTCAAGAAGGTGCACAGCACTTGGAATTCTATCATCATTCTTTCTCAATTCGTTCATGAAAACACCTGTTGCTCAGAGTCATGGTTGCTAACACTCATCAACGCGGCTCACTTAGAGTCTACATTGGATTAATACACCTAAGCAAACACAGTGGAGGACTCCAGACTGGGCAAGTGAGTCTCCAGAGTCCACGGTTCTCACGCCTCGACACCATGTGTCCACTGACTGAAGGTAAGGCATGATCACATGATGGGGCTGGAGACAGCTAGTCATTGCTACTGTTGCTCCCTCAAAAGCAGTTCAAATTAGGACAATACCGGAGAAACACTGCTGCTACCAAACAGGGCAGCTATCTCCCCAAAACGATGCCATCATTTTGGAAAAAAAGTACATGTAAAAAACAATGGAAATCAGGAAAGAATCCCAAATGGATTTCATTGTGTTTCAGTATCATCAGTGATGCTTTCTGAAGTAAGTGTCATTACATGATGTGTAATTCTTAATAATATCCTAAATGTCCAGTGGACAGGGGTGAGTTCAGTTCATGTTGAATTAGTATAGACAATAGCATTTAGATTTAAAGAAATAATTATTCAGAATACTGAGTAAAGGTACACAGAAGCAGCATACACAACGTACATATACAATATGTAAACATGATTTGAAGGCAATAAGGAAATCTGCTTTTCATTTTTTTGGTTAATATTTTTTGTTGCAAATGTACATACACACACACAATTACTGGCACATATAAAAAAATGCAAAGGTACCTTAATTAAGGAAAAAGTAAATGGCCACAGTCACCTAACTTGCACACAAGAACATCTTACAAAGAAGCCTGCATTTTTATGTTTTTAATCCTTTTTAAAAAAAAGCTATTATGAGAATACTGCTAATAAAGGAAACAAATCAGAGCAAAGCTTTGAGGGCAATTTAGTGTAATAACAAAATCTGGCCTTTTCTTCTTCAAAAATAGTGAAGAACTTGATTTTCACTCTAGAGATAGTTTTTGCATCTGAATAGTTTTCACTCTAGAGATAGTTTGGTCTCTAGAGATAGTCTTGCATCTGAATCCTGGGTTTCCATACTACCCCAAGATATGAGCCATGAAGACTCAGAACTCATATTTGCAAAAAAATGCAAATGCACTCAAATGAGGAGGGCCAGATTCCAGAAAAGTACAACTACAAGATGTTTATCTGGCTGTAAAAAATTGAAATCCATGCAATTGCAAAGGCAACATTTCAACTGGGACTTGGAAGAAAAAAGAAGGAAAGAACTATACAAAAAATGTGAGAAAAATGAATAAAACAGCAAAAGTAGTTGACTGTAACAACTCTGAAGTAGGAGAATTTTTTTATTTTTTGGCAGGGGGTGATAAGAAAAGGTATATTAAGTCAAAGATTTAGAGCTCCACTTAGTTTCCCAGGGTGCATGGAGGGTTTTTGGTGGACAAGATTGTCTACATAGAAAAGCTTGAGCCAAATGAGGAGTGAAGGCTTTCATTCTGGTGAAATGCTGGGGAGGCGAAGAGGGGAAAGTGTGTGAAAGGAGAACGTTCTAGACCAGATCAAGTGTATGCTAGGAAACTAGTGCTTCACTGCTGGCTTTCAGAAGATAGATCAACAACGTGGATATTCAGGGAGTTGTTGGTAACTATAGCCACAGCTGTCCACTTGCTAAGAAAAGATGTGACATTCCAGTATGTTCTCACAAGTGGTCTCAAAGGAAGGTCATGCCCACAGTTAGCAAATGCCAAAGTTTCTAAATGAGGATCTCAAATTCCAGAGGGCACCTATAGCATCAGGGAAGAAGTGCTGAGCAATGAGCTCACCTTCCCTCTCTTCCTAATTGACTACTCCAAACTCACGAATCCTTAGTTGAAAAGATGGAAACAGCACTTTTTTTCTTTGAATTTCAGATTCTAGCAGCTGGGCTTGGGACCTTCCTAAACAAGCTAGAGTGCTTGTGTCTGCTCTCAGTGTTTGAAGTGAGACGCCCCTCGGAGGAAAGCAACACTGAGAAAATCTGACAGGGAGCCACTGGAAGAAAGCCATGAAATAATTGCTCAAAGGAAATGGAAATCACCCAGGTTCCCACTGCCTATTTCTAGGCCACTTTCTCAGACTGGGGTCGAGGAGGGGCTTTTTTTCTTGGTTTCAGTGGGTGAGCTGCCTGGGAATAATAAGATATGAGATATTAAAATGTCTACTGTGCATATGGAACGAGAGACACACTATCAATCACAGCCAGAAACAAGTGTGCAATGACTTCTGTGGCAGGTGGCCTGGACTGCATTATGCTTGACCAGCCTCTGTGTTACTGTTCAAAGCTCCACGCTCGGGGCCAGTAGCACTGGAGTATCCTAGTGGCTGGTCAGAAACATTGACTGACTCTTCAGTCCTGCCTACTGAAGGAAGCTCTTCCAGTCGGTGCCAGCTCCACGGAATTCTGGCACACGTGGTCACCTGAGTGATGCTGCCTTGAGACAAAAGGAATGGTGAAAGGACATTGGAGGCCTCAAGATCAACATTCCCACATTCAGCCATGAGAGAACAAGCTCCAAACAAAAGGCTCAGTTGCACTAATTGTCAGGAGTGCCACTGTGCTGTGCTTGGACACATCTACTACTCCCAAGTGCTGGGGACAGGAGGAGTGGATTTTGTCAGTGGGTGTTTTTGGGCAGTTTGTCACAAACATATGTGCACATGCGCAACACAGAGACCCCCCCCACACACAGCCACTTTCACACAGATATGCATACGCACACCCCCAAAACACACATGCCAACCACTGTTCTCCGAAGTACCCATTTCCCCAAATCCCTTCCTAATTTTCACATGTGCATGATGAACATACAAAGCATACTGCATTTCATCACTTCCTTAGAAGCTGTTTAACAGACAGTAGGCAAAAGAAGATGACTTACTGATCACTGAAATGGGAAAAATTGCAGAAAACAAAGCAAAATTAATGAACAGGCACTGAATGGACAGGGCGACATGTTTGTCAGCCTCACGACTGAGGGAGGTGAAGTGGAAGGGGCCACACCTGCAAAAGCTTGAGATGTGGCCAGAACCCTGGACCCGGATACAGGAGGCCAGATGTCTAGTCCTCCCACAAGGTGGGATACAGGCTCTGAGCAAAGCGCAGATCCCTCTACATCATAATTTCTGTGTCATCAGTAAGAGCCTCCCATGATGCCCTCACTCACAGGTTCCTGAGCAGATGACGTGTCTGACTCTCAGGTTTTCCAGGGGCCAGCCTTAACTTCTGATGGAGAGGAGAGACTGATTTTACACTTGTAGCAACTCCTATTACATTTCTAATAGTGCCTTGCTTCTCTCTGGCCCAACCCTGGTCACTGCAGTCATCTGGGGAGTGTACTAGCAAATGAAAGATCTCTCTCCCCCAACCTCTCTCATTCTGTCTTCCCTCCCCAATAACTCTATTTTCAGATAAGTAAATAAACCTTTGAAAAACACAACCCATGTTGTGTCACAGGAAATCCCTCTTGTTTCTTAGTATCCAAGTAAACCAAGCTTTTTATTCCCCTCCTAGTTCTTCCAAATCAGTCCATTCCTTGACAATACAGATCTTCATACTCCAACCCTCCTCTCAAGTCGGGACTTCCTGCCTGTGCCCTCATACCCTCCCTTAGCCCTCAGCCAAATGCCAGGAAGGTCCCCTGTCAGTACCTTTCCTTGAGAGCAGTCATAATATGCCAACACCTAAGCACCTGGCGGCGATTCAGTTACCGTCTGCCTCTCTGCCCAAACCCACAGGGGCAGAGATATGGTGGATACCCTTGTAGTGAATCCCCCAGAGCACAACAGGTCCCTGATACACTGCTTAAAGAGACCAGAATCAAAATTTTGGCCTAAGCTTTGGCCATCTGTTCTTTCCACCCCCCACACATAAGGGCTGCCTGTCAGTCCCACGCTGTGGACCACTGGCCAGTTGACACTTTATGTATCCTTCACTGATGAACCAGTGGTAAACAATGTCAAAGAAGAGAATTAACATTTACATGGTGTCTAATGCATGTCTGGGCATTTCATGCATTAGTTTGCTGGGATCAAAACATGCTGGAGAAGCCCCTGGCAGTAGAGAGGTGGAAGGAGCTGCTTGTTTGCAGCGAGGCTGGATCCAAGCTGAGCTCTGACTCCAGCACTCAGGCTTTCCTTGCTATGCCCATGCTTGCTCAGTGTTTCTTCCAGAGTTCTGTTAATGCTT